ACATAATTATAAAAAGGATTAATGAAAGAGAAAATTAACCAATAATTTAAAATTTAGCTTGATGAGAAAATAAATCTATCAACATAAATTCCAGTTAAAAATAATTTTATTTCACAAATTGAGTAAATCTTTTATTTAATCTTCAAATAAGTGGTATGAGAACATATCTTTAAATAGTGTCTCACAAGGTGAGAAACGAAAAGAAATTTTAAAAATATGGGAAAAGGTTCTAAAAATACTTCAACTTTGGCCGAAATTATTGTTACGATACTAAATTTTATGGAGGACCTTTTACCTCCGTGCACTATTTAATAGTGTATTTTAAGGGTATATATGTGCCCATGTGGACACATTACTATTTATAATGGTGCAATATTTATGATGTCCACATGGGCACATATATACCTTTAAAATACACTATTAAATAGTGCAGGGGGTGAAAGGTCATTTCCAAAGTTCAATATTGTTATAGCAATTTCAATCAAAGTTCGAATATATTTCAAATCTTTTCCTCAAAAAATATCATCCTTTTTTTATTCTGTTATTTTGCTATTTTTCTAAGCAATTTTAGTAATAGATCATCATACAAAAAGTCTATCGAAAACAATCTTCTATTCCACAAAAATAGAAGTACAATCCATGTAGATCATACTTCCTTCAAATGAAATTATATTGAATATATTGTTATTGTATTACTTTTTCATTTTAATTTGTTTGCCCTACATTTTTTTTTTAAGTCTAGTTCATATAGAATAGTTTATTTTTTAACAACATTTCAGTTTCAATATTTTACGTAATTTGTTTAAAACTATAAAATTAAAAGATATTATAATATATTTAACATATTATTAACTTAATACCACAAATTTCAAGAAAAAATTACATTCTTATATTTTGTACCAAATCAAAATAAAACAAATAAATTAAATAAAAATAATCATGAAATACATATAAGTTGTTCAAGACTTTCATCTCACCTTAAGTTATCATATAAGATAAGATATTACTTTTTAATTACAATGAGATCAATAAAATATATGACGTACATATAATCAAAATAACAATAACATTGATTATAATTATACTATACCATTTTCAAATGAATTTCATAGAAATGATTCATTATATGTTATCAGCACGAGATGACATGACCTACTCCACAATAGCAGGGGTATAATTTATGTATATTATATTTTCTTCAAATAAAAATATATAGAATATATAGTTAACATAATTCTTCATCTATTTTTATTTGTTGATTCTATTTTTTTAGTTTATTCAAAAATAATTTATTTTTTTTGATAATTTTTGAATTTTAATTTTTTACATAGCATGTATAAAATCACAAGATTAAAAAGTATCTTGCTAATTTTGACATATCTTTATAACTCCCTCGATCTCTTTTTACTTGTCAAATTTTGACTTGACACACCTATTAAGAAAATAACTATTAACATAGTTAGTTTATTATTGATAGGGTCCCAAATAGATATACTTACTATATTTTTCAAAGACATTCAATGTTAAAAAAATTGAGGATATAATAATAAAAGTTGTTCTTTCTTCTTTGGTTAAAAATGACAAATAAAAAAAGAAATTAAATTAAAAATTATTTGACAAATAAATAGAAATGGAGAAAGTATAACATCACAAAATTCAAAAAAATCTTTACTTTCTTAAACATTTTATTATGTAAAAAAAAAAACAATTTACAACGAAAGAACTATAAAAAAAATCAAAAGATATATAAATTATCGAAATTTTTGTCTCATTCTAACTACAATACAATATAAGACAAGATGTCACTTTTTGGTTGTACTACAATTAAGAAGAGTGATGATGTCCAATCAGAATAACAATAACAATGATTATAATACCATATTCAATGAGTTTCTTAGAAATGAATAATTAAAATACTATCACCACAATATGACACCAAATATATAAAAGTAATAAGCAATTCATAATTGTATTTTGTACCGAATAAAAAATAAATACAGTAGATTACAACCCCACCACCACCTCATTAAAACTTTATAGTACTAAATTCAGCAAATTCTTTACGTGCATAATTGTACTACTGAAACGGGGCCACTAACGGCGAAACTGACGGCACCGTCAATTACGCAATGAAAGGACAAAAAAAATAAAAATTAACGCCCTCAAAACATATTAATAATAACCTCTTTCGCCAAAATTCTAAAACTTTGCTTATCTTTTTTTAAAAAATTGGCTTTTGAAATAATTTTTTTGAAGAATAATAATTTGAATTTAATTAATTAATTCTAAAACATTTATCGATATAAGAACTGAAAAAACAAATTACTCTTTTCAATTTTTTAAAAAAATCTCGTTACAATTCAAACACTTTTTAAAAAAAAAAACTAAAATCCTACTTGGATAGGCTTAAAACCTACTTTTAAGATATTTTTAGTTTTTGAGTGTGTTTGGCAAAGTTAAAAATAACTTAACATAAGTTAAAAACTAAATGCAGTACTCCACTACTTTTTATTTTTTTGACTTAACAAGTCATTTAAAATTTAACCTTTTTTTTTTATTTAAAAGCTATTTTTTTAGCCTATACAAATGGGCTCTAAATATCTCAATTCTATAAAATAAATACTTTTCTTAAGAAAATAAATATTTTTTACTTCTCAAAAGCTTGACTAATGGAAATTGTGATGAAGAGTTAAACATTAATATTATTTGGTAGAAAATTTCTAAAGCAATTGAATTTGCAACAAACCATCTAAATCGGGGTGCACAAACCACTTTCTGCCTTTTTATAAAAAAAAAAAGTTATTAATTCTACTTTTGAAAAAAAAAAAAACTTCCATAAAATAAATTTATCTTTAAAGAATAAAATACAAAACAAACTAACCACAAAAAAAAAAACGAGGAAGTTTCGGAGAAGATGTACTTTAATTAATTTCTTTAATAGATGCTTTTGGTATAAAAATTACAATTCCTATTTCTAAATTGATTATTCGAAAAATTAACTTGTGACATATTATATGCTTAACACTCATAAAACAACAGTTATAACTCACTTCCTTAACTATATATGATAATAAATATTTATTTGTACAAAGTGTTTACAGTAGATATAATTTATCATGTAATTGATTTAATATAGTGAACATATATATTAATTAATAATGATTAAGTAATAGTTCAGAGTTCAGATATATGAAAAGGAGAATGCACAGAATGACAGTGGTAGGTTTAAAGAAAGATAGACAGAAGTCAAAAAAAGTATTAAGGAGAAACGATTAAGAAGGACATACACATCTTCAATTTATCAAAAACATGTATGACCTTAGATGAGAAAAAATGGAAGTCAACAATTAAAATAAGAGGAGGAAGAAGATAGTTGAGTGTTATCTCAATTTACTATAAATAGTCTTAGTGCCCTGTACATATTTCTCTATACACACCATTAACATTAGTACTTGTCTCGTAGTTTCTTGTTTTCAATTTCAGTTAATGTCAGTTGTTTCTTTGCTTGAAGTATCACTTTATTTTGTTGTTGTCATTGTTTCTTATTTCTATGCTTTAAGTATTACTTTATTTTATTATTGTTATTGTTTCTTATTCTAAATGCTATATAATGAATTTTGAAATATTATTTATGTCTGCTTTACTTCAATAGTTTACTTCCTCTTTTTAAAAAATTGCATTGACAAGCATTACTAAAGCCAATTTTTTTTTTTAAGATTGTAAGAACAAAGTCTATTTATACTTTATCCTCTTTAAATTTCATTTATGAAATTACACTAGATATATTATTATTTTTATTGTAAGTGATAAAAGCATATGTACGAACACATGTTCTATATCTAATATAGGCCTATTTGTACATTATTTGACAGTAGATTGGTTTAAAGTTGAAATTTTGTTAAGACATGCAATTTGAATTTCTCAAATTATATTTTTTTCACAAAATGAAAACTCCACAAGTTGTGAAAACTATAAAAAAATAAAAATCATTCTTATATAATCTTATCAAATGAATAAATCATAGGTCAAAAACAAGATATCAAAATATCTTTAAGATACCACATTGATAAATCAAATATCTCTATGTTCTTTTTATAAATAAATGTTTGTGGTTACAAATTTTAAAATACACATAATTTATGAAAATTCACTAATCAATATAATAATAATTAGCTATTATTTAATATAATATTTCCATATGATACATGCAATCCCTTCACTCCAAAAACATTTTCTTTCTTTGACAAAATTTAAAATAATAAATCTTTTTAATAAAATTTAAATTTATGAATCAAATTTTAAAAAAATAAAATCAATTTTAAATTGCATACTCAAAAGTATCTATTTTACATAAACAATATAAACAATATATATATATATATATATATATATATATATATATATATATATATATGCCGCTTATTCACAACTTTTGACTAAACCTGTGTACCTATATGACAAAAATCTATTAAAATAATATTAAAAATTTATAAGTTTTAAATTCTGAATTCGCCTCCAAAGTTAGTTATAAGTTATAACTACCACTTCCCTAACGGCTAACTTTAACAATATAAGTAGCATGAAAACATGCGAAACAGGACCACTCTCCTTACACGGCACGTGGTCAAGACCCAAATTAAACGAATTCACAGAGATTTAATACTTTAACTGCACTTAATACTTTTTAACTTTAAACCCTTTTTCTCAATAACTTTTTTTTCCACCCAATATTCAGTATTCATATTATAGTCAGATTAAATTTAAATTCGTGTCAGTAAGTAAGTCTAGAGTAAAATGAATTTGAATTTAATCGAATTAAATTTATATGCATAAAACTCAAACTCAAAATCTTTTAATTAAAAATGAAGAAATATTTATCATTCTACCTGATTAACTTAAAGAACACATAAGTACAATTAAAATAACACAAAATCATTTAAAGTTTTTTTAACAGCTTACGGAGAAAAACATATTTATCGGTAAAATGAGGTTTATTCCAGTCTATGAATAATCCCTTGTGTATTTCTGTTTTCAGCTTCTTTCCTATTTTCTCTCACCCACCCACAGGAATATCTCTTCTACCATTCTGTGAGATCTCCTTCAAAGATCCATTTTTCAGGTGAGTAAAATTCAGCTGAGATTTCTACAATTAAGTTACACTTCTTTACCAGTTATATATACAAAAAAAATAATCTAAATTTGACATTATGAAATTGCAGAACAAAATGGGATTTTTGAGGTGAGGTTTGATGTAGAATTTATTGTTCTGTCGGTTTGCTGAAATTTTCACTGATCAAGACCTAATTTTTGCTACTCATTTCTTGAATTTGACAAAAAATTGAGATTTATTGTTTTGATGTACAATCTACATTCTGATTTTGGTCTTTGGGGATCTGTGATAAAATGAATCAGTAAATTCACAAATTTGAATGGAAGTGTTGATAAATTCGGATTCTGGTAGAGTTTCTGAAATTCTGTTTATGTTTTTCTGTAATTTCTGGGATTTTTTTTTAATCTGGGTCATTTCATCTTTAATTCTTGTTTTTTTTTTTTGCAGGATGATTTCATAAAACAGATTTGGTACAGTAGAATTAATAACCTTATCTAAGTCCTGCATCTCTATGCCGGAATTGGTTGAGTTTTTCTCATAAGAAATTCATTATGTCAAACTGAAGAAAATAAAAAAGGGAAAAAAAGATTGGATTTTTACCAGTTTGCAGAATGGAAATAGGCCAAGGCAGTTCATGGATCCCAGCAACTCCTGGGAAGCCAAATTTTACGGAATCGCCAACAATTTGCAGTAACGGGCAGGAAAACCAGCAAGCTCAAGTTGATTGGTCAGATTTGCAAAGAAAACAAGCACTAGAACATGCTACTGGCAGCACGGCTGAAGCTCAAAATGCTGCTGCATATCGCAGTTCAACAAGTTCAGTAGAAGAAGATCAGTGCTTCATGACCTCAGAAGCAGCAGTGGGAGAAAAGTCTGAAATGTGTGGAGGTAGTATAAATATGTACAATAACTTCGCTAGTGATAATGTAGACTTGTGGAGTAGTGTGTCTTTCGGGGATCTGTTGGCGATGGCACATGCTGGTGGCAGTGGCACCACGCCAGCTGATGAAACAGCTTATAGTGTGAAGAGTTCTTTCCAACCGCTCATCAATACTCAGAATGCAGGTAGACAAATGAAGTAGTCATTGATACATTTGTTACTACTAATTGTAATGACCCTACTGCTTGGAGGATTTTCAGATTTCAATAATTGCATTCCATGTATATGTCAAGAGCTTCTTTTTACCTGCCTCATTAACACAACGCTGTCTTTGTGCATTGTAAGACCTGCAAAATGTTTGACAATGAAATATAACTAGTTTAGTATCATTCTTGAAACTTACATCTACTAACAATTTGAATGCACAGCATGCACGAATCAGCTCATGTTGAATTGAACAACCCTGTGAATACTTACTGAAGTTCCAATTTGGACTAAAAATAATGTATCCTAGAACAAAATCAGTGGAAACAAAAGGTCACATATAAGATCCATGATACTGTGTTTCTCTGATTGAGTGTTCTACTGTTAAAGAGTGTCATTCCAAGTCAAATTATCCTATTGTTATCTACAAGTAATTCGATATTTAACGTGTAGCACATACTCCAACATGTTTTGTTTTGGTTTCGTTTCCATGAAAACAAGTCAGCTAAGCATCAAACAGTATCATGATTTAGGTGACATATCAAAATCTTAAGAAATTTGTCGCTTCAAGTTTGTGATTATTTCCTTGATAAACTAATATGACATAAGAGAACTCATCATGCAGATGAAAGCTCTATTTTATCCAGCTTCCCTTTCAACTTGAATTCACCACCAAAAATGACGGGTGCAACCTTGAGCAGCAACATCCCGTTCCAGTTCGAACCAGTAACACCAGATATGATGAAGATTAAAGGGCAAGCATCTAATGCATCAAACCTAGATATTAATGTGACAACAGCAAGTGTTATACAGTCAAATGAGGATATAATAAAGAGAGCTGAAGCAAATGAACTCCAACAGAATAAAGAGCAGTCAGTGCTGATCTTGGAAGGAAAACTGGATACTGAACTGAATAATACACCAGAGCAAAAACCAAGACGAAGAAAGCACAGGCCCAAAGTGGTTGTAGAAGGCAAGCCTAAAAGGACTCCTAAACCAAGAATCCAAAAGCAGCCTGATTCAGAGGAGACAAAGACAGAAAAGAGGAAGTATGTCCGAAGAAACAAGGTTGGCGAACCTGCAGCCACTTTTGCAGAAGAGGTAAACAATACAATTTGTCACGAGGGAAAGCCTCCTAGTTCCGAGAAAACCCCAACAGCAAAAAGGAAGTATGTCAGAAGAAATCAAGTGAACAAGAGCACGGAAAAACCTTCTGAAGAAGGAAGCAGTGGAACAACTGGCAGACCTGTAGCCACCTCCGCAGAAGAGGTAAAGAATACAACTTTTCACGAGGGAAAGGCTCCTAATTCCGAAGAAACTCCAACAGCAAAAAGGAATGTCAGAACAAATCAAGTTAACATGAGCATGGAAAAACTCTCTGAAGAGGGAAGCAGTGGAACAATTGACCCGACAGAAGTTCCTCATTCTAGAAAAACCTGCAGGAAATCGTTGAGTTTTGAATTGGAAAGCCAAGCAAGTGATGAGTATTCATCATACAGGCCCTCAACTTTGGATTTGCATGCAAATAATTCCGGGTCAACAGCACAGTCTGTTCAGCTTGGACAAGGTAAAGAAGCCACAAGTGAAGAAACAGAAGTGGGCATAACTCATAACATCACCCGCTCCCTGAACCAGGAGGTGAGAAATTACTTATCACAGCATGGAATGCAGTACCCTGGTCCTCCAACTCCGGACAAGGTTGGCTGGAATCATGACAAAGCCATGGTTGGGAATCACAATGAAAGCACAAGAGGAAATAGCAGAATCATTTTTTCAGATTTAACTCATGATAAACAGGCAAGCATACTACAAATGACACCACAGAGCCTGAATTTTTCCAACTGCAGCAGCAGTTCATGCTTACCACATGGGAAAAGCTTGAAAAGACAGCATTCATGTAGAACTGATGAAGCACAATTCTACAGCATAAATGCCAGAGGGGCGTATTTCAATTCTATGCAGGTTTATCAAGCAATCCTTCCAGCAAATAAACCTGATGTTTATAGTAATGTAGGGATGCATTTTCCTGCTATTTACAAGAAAATGAGAGCAGAAAAGGGCCACATCTCAACATCATCTTACATCAAACTTTTTACTGGTGAAACTAACTACGTGCCTTCATCTCAGTGCAATATCAATGGTTCCCCTAGCAACAATTCTGCAACCAATATAGGCAATTACGGAATGTGGAATTCCAATGTTATGCCAGCATATGTGGAAGCAGAGATGTTAAGGAAGAAGAGATCAAATGGCGCAACTCAAGTACATGACATTGCATCTCTGCGTGAAATTTACAAACAATTTCCAACTTCCACATCTAAAGAAGCAACAATATATGGATTTGGAGAAAGATATAAAACTTCACATCTATCCAATGCATGCATGGGAACTCCAATTGCAGACACCCAAGCAGCAATGAAGAAAAAAAGGCAGTCAAAGAAGAGCATCCTTGTCAGCTCAGCAGCTTCCAACTTATATACCCATCAACATCTCACAAAAAATGCAAGAGGTGCTTAAAGGCATATACTTAAAACTACCAATTATATCATAACTCTTTTCTTGCTAACAACATTGAATGCAGGTTCTCTGCCAGCTTTAACATGGAGAGGCATGTCTCCAATCGATGAAATTGCAGAACACTTGCGGCATCTTGATTTAAATAGAGAAAGCAGCCAAAATCAAGGTCAACATGGAATCACCTACCACACCAAGTTTCAAAAGGAGAGTGCCCTTGTTCTTTATCAAAGAGATGGAAGTATTGTCCCTTTTGGAAGTTCATTAGTTAGAAAACGAAAACCACGACCAAAAGTTGATGTTGATGATGAGACTGATAGGGTATGGAAGCTTTTGCTGCAAGATATAAACAGTGAAGGCATTGATGGAACAGATGAAGACAAGGCAAAATGGTGGGAGGAAGAACGTCGAGTGTTTAATAGTAGAGCAGACTCATTTATTGCACGCATGCGTCTTGTCCAAGGTAATTGTGCAAAGTCTTCAACCTTTCCTAGTGGCTAAGTCAAATTCCCAGCTAGATTCCTTCACTAGAAACATAGGTAGAAGAAAATATTGCTAGTTTAAATAAGATAAAAATGGCTATGTTAATATCTTCAATCTGTGACTCAGCATGTGGTAATATAAAACAATTGAAAAGTGAGGCATCAACTAAATGTTGATCTTGCACGCCAAGATTCCACATACCCTTACTATATTTCCGTAGGAATGCTGTAGGAGTTTAAACATGCCATATTAAAAGAAAAAAAATGTCAGTGACCTGTTTTCTTCTATTGTAATAACCATAAATTTTATTTTCTTCTTTTTTGGGTGAGTCAGGAGACAGGCGCTTCTCACCTTGGAAGGGATCTGTTGTGGACTCTGTAGTTGGGGTATATCTTACGCAGAATGTTTCAGATCACCTTTCTAGGTTAGCTGAAACAATAAACTTCTACAGTTTTGGAATTTTTTTCTGTCTTCCGGCAAATTCCTAAACATTCAAAGATGGAGTGCCAACATATTACTTAGCCCACTTTTGTACCTAAAATTACTTACTTTATCCTATTTACAGTTCTGCATTCATGTCACTCGCTGCCCACTTTCCTCTGAAGACAGACAGTAGTCAGAAGCATGAAGGAAACACAGGTATTATAATTGAAGAACCTGAAGAGTGTGCAACGGACCCCAATGTTTCTATCAGATGGTATGAAGATCAACCAAATCAGTCAACCCATTGTCAGGATTCTTCAGGAGTCTATAATACAGATTCAAATGAAGAAAAAGTAGCTGTCAATGACTCTGAATCAAGTGAATATAGCACACAATGCATAAAGTCAGCAGAATGTTCTGTAATTCTGCAATCAGATTCTTCTAGAGAAGGCTCAGATCTGTATCATGGATCAACAGTTACAAGTTTCCAAGATCGAAAAGAGTTGAATGATTTGCCTTCTTCTCCGAGTTCTGTAGTTTCTTCGGAGAATTCTGCAGTTATTCAAGCTTCAGAAGGAACTGACTCAAGCAACTTTTGCAGCTCCACTTCTTTTTTGAAGCTATTACAGATGGCAGGAACCTCAGGAGCACGAGGAACCAGGTGCACTGAACATTTACAAGAAGGTGAAAACGTTCCATTCCTTGGCAAGGAACTTATTGCCCCCCAAAAAAGTGTGTTGTCGGCAGAATCTGCACAATCAGCACTGTACACAATGAACCCTCAAAATAAGTTGGACATAGAGACAGTGACTGATGCAGAAGACAATGTTGAACTACAATTTCCAACTGAAGATAACAATTGCAATGTCCAGCAAGTTCCAGAAGCCCCAACCAATTCAGAAACCATTGTAAATGTCACAGAAAGGGCCAGCGTAGTTTTTGATTCATGCAAGCCTGAGCAAAGAAGTTTGGAGTCAAACTTGAAAAATGACAGTAATCATGTCTGTAGCAAAGTAGACAA